GTGAACTGGCCTTGTGGCCATTTGCTTGTGCTCAGACTGCGTGGTGACGTCGTGATCCACCCTGAGCTTGCTTTGCCTTTCTTGACCGGTCTTGTGACCTCTTGTTCTCCCCCACTTTGCCTATGGGGGTGTGTCAAACATATATGACATAGTCTATGTAGGCTGTAGTGGGGTAGTCAATATAGGGTACAACTCTTTTAGGTTTTCCACTTGTACCCAGTTCAATCATTCCTTCCTTCACATTCTGACATTCGGTATAATCTAGATGCCTAGCAATCTTTCAAGCACCCTCTTCTCTGCCCATCTGTACTCTGTGTTCATAAGAGGTGTATTGTCTCTATTCTTCCCCAACGGCTCCACCGCAATCTTGTCTTGGTTCACCTTGAGGCTCAAACTTTCCTTAAACTCTTGCAAAATCCCGCATGCCTTCCCAATATGCTCATTTCCTTGAAGGACCAGAGTTGTTGTCCACATTCTTTATGTATGTCGACTCCCCTCTTTTTTTCCTCATCCCTAACCTCCTCCTTCTAAACTCTTGGCATAGTGGTTCCGTAGCACAGATGAAGGGGTATGGAGCAAGCGGACATCTTTGATGGACTCCCTTATCCACTCCTACTTTCTCACCCAGACAGTCGTTGATCAGCAGCCTCGTCCCTGAGTCCTATGGAGGCCTTTCATCTATTCCACGTACTCCTCCGGGAAGCTCATTTTGTCAGCGTCTAGAAGAGAAGCTTTTTGGAGACCGGGTCATACGCTTTCTAGAAATCAGCCAAAAGAATATTCCAATCTTCATTCCCCGCTACTGTCGCATCAATGATGTTCACCACAATCGTGACTGCATTCACTCGTCTCCTCCCATGTAAGAAGCCATACTTATGTTCCGGAATCACCAGCGGCAGAATTGTCTTGATTCTGTTTGCCAGTATTTTTGTGATAATCTTGTACGCCGCACAAAGCAGGGTGGTTGTTTTGTAATTCTCCAGATTGTTTCTGTCCTTGCAGGAGAATCATAACCAGCTGATGCGGGGAGACTCACGTCTGCTCAAAGGACCTCACAAATCTTAAAGAGACTCTGCCCCAACATATCACGGTTCTCCTCGACTAGCTCCTTTAGAAGTCCATCAGCACTTGGAGCTTTCCTTTTTGCAGCTGCATGATAGCCAATTTATTTGTCTATTCACAGAGCCTTTAGCATCTCATTCTCCTCCTTTTCACCCAGTCGCTCATATGGATATACCGACAAGCTTATAAATCATCCTCGAACTCCTGCAAAGCAAACGATAAATTGACACTGCTGTGGGTAGCTCCCTCTCTCCCGTGTATTATATGCCTTTCAAAAGGACTTCACCGATCTCCATTTTTGCTTTCCTCATCGTGATATTTCCCGTCATCAGTTTGGGTGGTGTTTCTCCAGCCAGTTCCGCCTTAACGCCCGCCATTGTCTGCAACTTGTCTCTCTGCTTGTCTTGGTACGCTTTCAGCATCGATTCATGTTTCACCAAGCATTTGTAGCAGCTGTTGTGACCTGTACCACTCATGCACTCATGCTTTAGCAGCTCCACCGTCTTTTCCAAAGCCGCCGCGTATTATTTCCTTTCTTCTTTCGAGTATGCTCGTATGCTTATTTGCATTTTGGTCTGTAGATTTGGTAGATTAGGCTACTGACTACTCTTTTGAATCCCCAACGCCGCCTGGATTAGCTTCCTCACTCCTGGTTTCTCGGCTTGCAAGGTGTGCATCCTCCACATTCTCGGCCCTCTGCAGCTGCTTGACTTCACACAGATTGCAATGGAGCCCGCGAACTAGTGGTAGTAGGTTCCATCTAGGGCCGAGGATTGGTAGGTGTCTAAAACTTTGCTCAGAAGCGTCTGGAATACCAACGCTCTGTCAATACGAGTGCTCGCTTTCGCCGAGTGTGGGTAGAAGGTGTAATCACGTTTCGTTGGGTAAAGTGACTGAAAGGCATTCTATAATTCCAACGACGCTTAGACATCAAGTAGTTGATAGTTCTCTTTGAAAGGCCCCAGTCTGGATGTTGCTCGCTTCTCCCCGTGCTCCCTAAGCTGTTGATGTTCAACGTAGTAATGGCAAACTTGTTACTTTTATAATAAAACTACTACAACAGACCCTATACCATCCACAAGTCGAGAAAATTCACTAGTCAACAAAGTCCACAGATTACTAACACTGAGAAAGTTACTTCGACCAAGAAACGGATGACAGTCATTCGGAATGTTGTAAACGCATCTTCCATACTTGCTTCAACACTCCCCTGACCTCTTTTCCAATATGCTACTTGACAAACTTCTTCTTCAGTCAGGCCAAACTCACAGCTCCTTTGTTGTTTATGTTGCAGCACCTGGTTTGGTGAGGTTGGACTTGTGGCGAAGTAAGGCCGCGTGAACAGCTGCTTGCGGGAAGCTGGTACCCTGTGCCTTTACGCAAGCGGCAACCACACACACCCTCTCTTCTCTGGAACCATTGATAGAGGTAAACACAATGAATGGGTCCTTGAGGACACCCTTCAAGAGATCTAGGGAGGCTCCTGCGGGGGGCGGGGGGGTGGAGTGGGGGGGGGGGGGGGGGGGGGGGGGGGGGGGAGGAGGGGGAACCACATTGGATCGTCAGTAATCAAGAATGGTAAGGAAAGCAAGTAAGAAGAGGCGATATTCACAACAATACTGTCTATCTCATGGTCCTTCTTAACAATAAAGTTCCATTTGCCGATGATCGCTTGACGATGAGTGATGTACTCATCATAGTATCTCGTCATGTGCTGGCTAATGCAGTATTCGCAGGAGAGGGATGGGTAGTGAATCGACAACTTCTTCCCATACTTGGTAGGGTCCCAAATAGCAAAACGCTAGCGTTTTTTTTTCACTTGCATGAGGGGATTATCCAAGCTTACGTATCCAATTTGTGCCCATCCCAGTAACTAGGTCTTGCATTCTGTGAAATTTGTACCCTTTGCCAAAGGCACTCCTCCCCGTCTTAACAAAAGTCTCCGCCACCAGCAGGATTCGGGCCAATTCAAGAGATAGTTCTGCCTGTATATCCTTGAGTACCACTTCCGCAACAGCATGAGCAGCGCAAGTTCGTGGATGAAGGTATTGTTCTCTGGATGCTGCCAATCTAGTTGTAGAGTCCTGCCATTGTAGCAGTCATGTTCAATGGAGCGGAGCCAAAGAAAGCTGGTGTCGCTCTCGCGTGGGAACGTGACTTGCATTCGGCCGTATCGGGACTTGGAATTATAGCACTTAAAGCTTAGTCGTGGTTAGTACGTCCGTTGACGGAGCAGTTTTCCAGAATTCAAGATGAGCAAGCACAATTGCTCGAGTCCTCGAAACATCAGCAACTGAGGTAAAAGGGATAAGTAGTGAATCTTAAAACTTAACCTAGGTCAAGATGATACCAGCTGTCGCGGGATCCACTTCATTGTCGTGGTCATCATTGAGGTCATCGTCATCACTTGTGTCCTCCTCTTCTTACGACAGGTGCGAATTGACAACCGTCGCGGAGCTAGCCGGAGGAATTGCACGCTGGCCATTACCCCCCTCTCAATTCCATCCTTAAGCCCATTGATTTTCAATATAAATAAGCGTTTCGCCAGCGACTCCAGACTAGTAGCAGCCGTAAGATCAGAGGCTTTGTTGTGCTGATCTAATAAAGTAAAATGAAGAACAAGGGACCATACTCAGGCGGAGAGCTACCAACACTTCTAGGAGGATCACCACCATCAAATAGGGAATATGAGGAAGTGGCAAAGGATAATGTTAGAGACAGCTTATCTGAACACATAATGAGGCTTGGTTTCCTAGTTGCTGGAGAAATGATGGAACCTTATAGGAGTTCCCGTTAGACAAGAAAGTTGATATTGTAGAATCCCATTAATCACTGCAGAGCTTTGTGAGACCGAGCCAAAGTCAAGGCCTGATGAGACCTTGGTGACTTGATCTCTCTGGAACTCCATAAGTGTTGAAATAGCCTAGGGCTTAGAAGCCATGGCTTGAGTACGAAAGAGAGTGGCGAGAGGGTTTCAAGAGAGAAGAGGGGATTCAATAACACCAACAGTACAAGTTATAGATGCAAGAGAAGGTGGGGAAAGGGGGGTACACCACCAACATAGTCTAGATGATACTACACTACTAGTGTTCCATGTAGTTATAAGAATATAATTCAACATTTCCCCTTAACTGCAAGCAACTCTAGCTAGTGTAGGGGCGCTCTACCCTAAGTGCAGTCATCACCATGCCGCAACTTGAACCACCGTGGTTGAACCCCCACGGCAGGTGCCCGGTTGCAGTTGAACCCTCGCAACAGGTGCCGGTGCGCGCGACGAGGGACGACCACACCCAGAAACGACGGATAGTAACAGAACGCGAATAGAAGAGAAAACGTTACAAAACAAGAAAACAGAATAGAAGAAACTCTCTCTCTGTCTCTCACCACCCTTCAACCTCTCTCCCCCCCCCCTCTTCCCCACAGTGACAAGCCCTGCAAGGAGAGAGAAAGGAGGAGAGGCAGCTTGTGACGAGTTGCTGGTCACCCCCGCCACCCCTTCATCTCCTCCCCCCTTTTGGCGAAAGCCGCGGAAAGGAGGGGGGGGGGGGGTGTTAGCTGCTGCTGGCGCTGGGCGCTGGCATCCGCGTTTGGCGCTAGGCGCTGGCGTCGGAACTGGCGGGCGACGGGGTAGCACGCGGGACGGGACGACTGACGGCGCGTCGGGCAGGACGGGTTGCGCGCAGGGCAAAACAGGCTGCGCGCAGGGAAAAACAGCCTGCGCATGGGGCAAAACAGGCTGCGCGCGGGGCGCATCAGGCTGCGTGACGAGTGGGTCCGTGTCTCTGAAAAGGACAAGAAGGTTCCAGGATGGAACCTGCTCTGATACCATGTTGGAATAGCCTAGGGCTTAGAAGCCATGTCTTGAGTACGAATGAGAGTGGCTAGATGGTTTCAAGAGAGAAGAGGGGATTCACTGACACCAACGGTACAAGTTATAGATGCAAGAGAAGGTGGGGAAAGGGGGGTACACCACCAACATACCGTAAACCCCCGTATATAAGACCCTAGGGTATTATGATAATCTGGCCTCTAAAAGTTGGGGGGTTTAGGCGGAGGTGGAGGTGCTGGAGGATGTGTGCGAGGAGGAGCTCGAAGAGCTCGTCCCCAACCCTTTCTACCCTGACCCAGCTGCCCCTTTGAGCAAGGACAGGGAGGAGGAGGAGGAGGAGGAGGAGGAGGAGGAGGAGGAGGAGGAGGAGGAGGAGGAGGAGGAGGAGGAGGAGGAGGAGGACGAGGACGAGGACGAGGACGAGGACGAGGAGGAGGAGGACGAGGAGGACGAGGAGGAGGAGGAGGAGGAGGAGGAGGAGGAGGAGGAGGAGGAGGAGGAGGAGGAGGAGGAGGAGGAGGAGGAGGAGGAGGAGGAGGAGGACGAGGACGAGGACGAGGAGGACGAGGACGAGGAGGAGGAGGAGGAGGAGGAGGAGGAGGAGGAGGAGGAGGAGGAGGAGGAGGAGGAGGAGGAGGAGGAGGAGGAGGAGGAGGAGGAGGAGGAGGAGGATGACACGGAAGGGGAGGGGGAGAACACGGAGGAGGAGGAGGAGGGGGACGAGGAGGAGGACGAGGAGGAGGGTGAGGAGGGCGAGGAGGAAGGCGGTGCGGAGGTGGAGGGTGGAGCGGGTGAGGAGGAGGATGATGGCGATGAGTGGTGGGCAGAAGGGCGATATGATGGGGAGGAGGCGGAGATCTGGGTTGCTGGAGAGGATTAGGATGATAATAGGCCTATGCATGTGTGTTCATGGGTGTGATGTCCCTTCCTGAACATGGAATATGACCATTTTTCATTGCATTCGCTGAAAATACGCAAATCGTTAGGATGTGGGGGGTCTTATAATGTCAGGAGCCATTTAGGGGGGTATAACTCGGACTTACTCGAATAGAGTACCCCCCTCCGTATTATAGACCCGGGGGTCTACAACTGGAGGGGGTCTTATATACGGGGGTTTACGGTAGTCTATATGATACTACACTACTACTGTTCCATGCAGTTATAAGAATATAATTCAACAATAAGCAGCATCTGTGTTCCCATTGGTGAATATGTATCTGATATCCGCTTATAGCACTCGGAAAGAGGAATTCGCTCGTTAAGGAAAAACACACAAAAAATAAATCGACACACATTGGGCTTGTCATAACTGTAGCGGGATCCATGGTGGCAAGTTCTAGGTTCTAGGTGCTTTCTCAAAAGGGTTCAATGATATCGTTCTTGTAAGGGTTTACAAATCCTTACTGAGGCACTCGTTAGCGAGGCCATCCCGAGGGTCACGCCACGAACCTGTTCTGCCTATTTCGTCACACCAAACCACTCCCGAGTCGCCTCCAATCCAATCGCAACCATCAGCGAGCCGTCCTCGCCCGATCTCCCCGCCTAGCTAGCATTTCCCCTATTTAGGTCTCGACACTTTCCTTGTATCGTCATTCTGTAGTTCAACATTCTTGTTATTCGTTTTACTGCGCACTCTGCAAGTTCATTCATAACACCTGGTATCAGAGCTACTTTCCTAGCCTACCCCGCTTTTTAGAGTGTAATACCCCTCGAGGGGGGGGGGGGGGGGGACGAGGAAGGATGTCTTGGGGTCCAGGAGTTGCGTAGGTCGGCCAGGGGAACTAGTTAGTTGCTCCTCGCGGCTATGTTTTTACGGGTACTCCTTCGGCACCGCCAAATCCTTGCCTTCGACGGTCGCGATTGACCGTGACCTCCCTCCCCCCGGGCAACTCGCAGCAGTAGCTGTCGCGACGTAAAGTGAGTAATTTCCGCTGCGATTTACCGACAATTTCGGATGTTTGTGTGGCAGCTGGCATCAGCGGACCTACGCCGGCACCTGCACGATTTTTTCGGAAGTCGTCAAGATGAGTGGCAGTTGACGACGTTGGACCCGGGTCAACAACTGCGCGACAATTTCGGAGTTCGTCTGATGCGGCAATTTACGACGGTGGCTCGTCGTCATTTTGCGCGCGTGACTCGCGGAATGTGTTTCGGCAGCTGGTGACAACGGACGTGCGTCAATGTGGGCGAATATTTCGGAGCAACTGTGGAGAAAAAGTCTGCTTGGGAACTTGCCAGGCGCAAATGGAGTTTTGCGTCCGAAAATGTCGCTGGCGAGGAGAGACGACACGCGAACTGCCCGAATTATGCGGGGTCAACTGTCGTCCTGCCCGACCTGAAGTGCAGCGGCTTTTACTGCATGGCGGGCGCGTCACTGAAGATTTCGGCAGGAGTGCACGCGGACAGACGGGAACTTCAGACGCGCAGACCGACTCAAGACCAAGCAGGTCGGCAGCAGCAGCAGAGGCAACAGAGGGCAGCAGGGGGGAAGGAGAACACCCCTCAAAGATGGGGGTGCGAGGGTCACCACGAGAGGCTCCTACAGCGACGATGCTCTTCTCCGCCGCCAGGAGGGACTTCTCGAGGAGGTCGACAGTGAGAGTGGTGGGACAGACTGAGAGGAAGTGGTCCCTGACTACGCGAAGGGAGTCAGGGAGGCGTGTGACTATGTAATAGAGAGTGATGTACATGGGGGGGGGGGGTTCTTGGCGCAGAACTCAGCAGGAAGGGCGGCGCGGTAGCGAGTGTCACTAGTGCGGAGGTGCGTAATGAGGTCAGCGACAGTGGGAAAGGCAGCAAGGTCAGGAAAGAGGTACGGTAGCATGAGGCGGCTCAGGGCAGCAGTGGCAGGGGAAGAGTAGCGCGCAACTACAGCGTCGTACAAGGTCTGAGCACTCTTGTACTGACTAAAGTGCGCGCGCTCAGTGGTAGGCAGGTGGCGACGCACAGCAAGGCGTGCAGCAGCATCGCGGGTGGCCCACTGAGAGCGAACAGTGGGGTCAGCATCAGCAGCAGGGGCAGGAGAGGCGCCAGAGGTAAGGTCAAAGAGGGAAAGACCGTCCGTCCTATCGCACTGTAAGAACAGTTGCAGGTCGTCGACCCAGACCTCAAAGTCAATGGCTCGACCCTCAGCGTCAAAAGCGAGGACACTAGGGGTAGCCATGACGACGACAGTGTAGCAGTGCAAGCAGTAGGGGAAGGGCACGCAGTAACAGTGGTGCTGTGCTCACCAGGCAGGGCAGGTCGGGCGGCTCGGTAGTAGGGCGGCCCGGCAGCTGGGCGGCTCGGCGGCTCGGCTGCTGGGCGGCTCGGCTCCCGGGCGGCTCGGCGGCAGGGCGGCTCGGCGGCAGGGCGGCTCGGCGGCTCGGCTCCCGGGCGGCTCGGCTGCAGGGCGGCTCGACGGCTGGGCGGCTCGGCGGCTGGGCGGTCGGCTGCACGGCGGCTCGGCTGGTGGGCGGCCGGGGGGGTCGCTGCAGAAGGGCGGCGGGGCCGCTGGGTAGGGCGGCGGGGCCGCGAGATAGGGCAGCGGGGCCAAGAGGAAGGGCGGCGGGGCCGCGCGATGGGGCGGCGGGGCCGCGAGGAAGGGCGGCGGGGCCGCTAGGTAGGGCGGCGGGGCCGCGCGATGGGGCGGCGGGACCGCGAGGAAGGGCGGCGGGGCCGCTAGGTAGGGCGGCGGGGCCTCACGATGGGGCGGCGAGGCCGCGAGGTAGGGCGGCGGGGCCGCGCAATAGGGCGGCGAGGCCGCGAGTAAGGGCGGCGGGGCCGCGAGGTAGGGCGGCGGGGCCGCGCAATAGGGCGGCGAGGCGGCGAGGTAGGGCGGCGGGGCCGCTAGGTAGGGCGGCGGGGCCGCTAGGAGAGAGGCGGCGGGGCCGCGAAGACGGGCGGCGGGGCCGCTGAGATGAGTGGCGGGGCCGCAGTGAAGGGCCCGGAGCGCGACTCGGGCTGAGCGCGCTTCGGGCAGGAAAAAAAAAAACGATGTGGTGGGCCCTAAGCACAGTTCCCAAGGGGGAACCTGCTCGATACCATGAGAAGATTTGAACAAGAATGAATGAACTATGAATGAAGTGAGTACATATAGGAAACCCAAATTGGGTTGTACCCCCTATGGGATACCCCACTATAGCCTACACAACAGCATAAGCTATAAATATGTTCTGACACACCCCCATAGGCAAAGTGGGGGAGAACAAGGGGTCACAAGACCAGTCATGCAAAGCACAGCAAGCTCAGGGTGGATCACAAAGTCACCACACAGTCCGAGCACAACGACAAGGCCACAAGGCCAGTTCACATGCAGGAGTGCACATATATATATAGAGCTAGACAAGCAAGAGCAGGTATATATATGTGACAGTACAAGCAAGGTGAAGAGGAGAGCAAGTGAGGCAAGACAGGTACAAGACCCAGCTGAGTGCAGAAGCGCTGATGGTCACAAGGCGCAAGTGCCTTGGTGAACACATCAGCAGTGTTGGCCTCAGAGGCCACGTACGCAAGTCGCAACTGACCACGCTGCTGCAGCTCACGAGCAAGAAAGTAACGGAGAGCAATGTGCTTCGTTCTGTGCTCCAAGCGCTGCTCTCGACACAAGGCCAGCATGGCCTTGTTATCTACGTACAGCACTGGAGGAGAACGAGGCGGCTCTCCAAGGTCAGTCAGCAGGTAGGTGAGCCAACGAAGCTCCTGTGCAGCCATGGCCCCGGCGTAGATCTCAGCCTCACAACTGGAGCCGAGAACAGAGGACGAGCGAGTAGCCCGCCACGAGACAGAGCCGGAACCAAGACTGAAGGTGTAACCCTGCGACGACCGCTGCGTAGCCTGGTCGTCAGCCCAAGAAGCGTCCGCGTGCCCAGTGAGGACCACTGGACTCCGCCCTCCAAGCACTAGCCCCATGCCCGACGTACTGCACAAGTAGCGCAACACCCTCTTCGCTGCAGCCATGTGCTCTGGTCGGTGTCTCCCAGGAGCAACATAGCGTGCAAGAATGCTAAGAGGGTATGCAAGGTCAGGTCGTGTGCAGGTCATCAGGTACATGAGGCAGCCAACAAGCTCTGGGTACGGGCCACTCGACTCTACGGACTCATCCGAAGGCAGAGCTGAGAGCGAGTGGCGAGTAGACAGAGGAGTGGCCTGAGGCGAGGAGTACGTGAAGCCGAAGCGCTGAAGGACCTGCTGCACCATGTGTGACTGAGTCAAGGTAATGGTGCGGCGTGCTCTGTCCCGAGTGATCTGCAAGCCAAGGTAGCTGCGCAGTTCACCCAGGTCTGTGCACGTGTGTCTCTTCTGCAGCTCGGACTTCACGTAGGCTAGTCCAGCAGTGTCAGCTGTGGCAAAGACCAAGTCGTCGACGTACACGAGGATGTAGAACGGCGGCAAAGAAGTGTCGGTGCGCAGAAACAACGACGGGTCAGCCGTAGAGGGAGCAAACCCAAGAGCCGCAAGCGTAGTCCTCAGTGTGTCGTGCCACTCACGCGGTGCCTGGCGGAGACCGTAGACTGGCCGTCGGAGGCTCCACTGGGTGCCAGTAGGGAAAGTCCCAATGAAGCCAGGTGGACGGCGCAGCCAGATCTCCTCGTGCAGGCTACCCTGCAAGAAAGCAGTGCTGAAGTCAAGAGAGTGGAGCTCGTAGTCGCGCTGAGCGGCTATGTGCAGCAGCACCCGAAGAGTGGTCATCTTCGGGGTGGGAGAGAAGGTCTGAAAGTAGTCAACTCCCTGCCGCTGACTGAAGCCACGAGCGACGTACCGCGCCTTGAAGACAGGTGGAGAGCCCGGCGGCCGCTTCACCCTGAAGATCCACATGCCACTGACGATGTTCGCCCCAGGAGGGGGAACCGCGTCAACGTAGGTGCCTGTGGACTTCCAGGACGCCATCTCTGCATCCAT